AACGAATCCTTTATTTTAATCATTCGTTCCAGCATGTAGAAAATGCTATTCCACCTGTAAATAAAAGTAAAAGAATATGGAATTTAATTCTCAATTAAATTAAATTATGTACTACACTTCTGTACAACGCCTAAAGCCGTTTGGCTGAGTTGTTCTGTTTGTATTTTGTTTAGTTCCGTTTGAGCAATTTGAGAATGATTAAAATGCGTACACATTTTTTTGCATTTCGCTATCAAATTTTTTATTTCTTCATCAGAATCTAACATAGTTTTCACACAAAGTTGTAATTGATGTACGGTACAACTGACATCAGGGATATCAGCTAGCCTCATTGCACGTATCATATTTGACCTACACTCACGAATGAAACAGTGGATTTTGTCAGACGTTATTTGTCATTCCTGGAGCATCTTATTAAATTTTTCCTGAATTACATCTCCTGTATGTCGGCCATCAAAAGGGTGGCATTTCAAAACAAGTTTTATTCTCTTAAAATCTTCAGTTATGCCATGCGCTGTCAAACTCAATAAGGAAACATTGGAACTGGGTTCAGTCCAAACATCGGTGGTAAATCAAATTTTTGTAAAAGTTTTCAACAAATCCACTACCTTACTGGCCAGCGTAGGATACAATTCATCACAAATAAATGACGTAAAAAACTGTCTTCCCTGAAAAATAAAATAAAAACTGATAATTCGGCGCGATGAATGCAACAGTCGTCGAAATCCGATACCTTCTACAAAATTTGATGGAAGGTCTTGCAGAGCAATCATCTGAGAGATCAAATTATCAATTTCCACTGATTTAGGATTTGAAGAAGCCCATTTTTGATTTTTCAGCAAAGCGTCTTGGAGAGTCATTTGTTTTTTAACTTCTTGAACTTCTTGGGGTACAGTCGAGGGCTGCTTTTTTTCAGTTTCAAGCTTAATGCATTCTTCGTATTCTTTCGCCAAAGAGTTTATAACGTAATCAAAAATGCTTTACGTTAAGGCACTGCTACATTTCGATATTCGTTATAACTCCGATTCAAAATTATCGGAGTCGGAGGTGTAAAATCAATCGGAAGTTCCGACCTTTCGGAGTCGAAGCGAAGATCCTTAACATCCCTATTACAGACATACAGACAGACACACAGACATAGTTGCAATATTTTCTCTTTGTATAGAGAAAGTAACAAAAATAGCACAATACTATAATGCACAGAAAATGGCAAGTTTGTATGCTATATATTTGTATGCTGCCTTATAAAAGGGGTTGTTTCTCGGAAACCGTTGGGGTACAAACCTTTTTTTCATCTTTTTTTACATTAAGGTACAAAACTAGTACAACATTTTAGTTCACTAAAAAGTTTGTTTTTTTCAAAAAATGTCGGGGGCTGACATGTAGGCAGAACCCCATTACAAAAAACGTTATAGTTTAAAAACCGTAGGGGTACAAAACTTTTCGTTGGTGGTACATTAGGGTACAAAACTAGTACAATACTTTAGCATAAAGTTTTTTTTATTTTTGGGTATGACGGGGGGCTGCCTGCATGGACCTAAAAAACATGTTTGGAGCTTTACCATAAAAAATTGCAATTTATTTACGACTTCCAAATGCTGCATCGTATACTAGCCATTATTACCGTAGGTCCTCCGCAATACTTTTAGCAAATCATGGAAGTAAAATAGAAACCGCTAAGAAAATTATTGGAAATTGTAAGAATAAAAATCAGATGACATTAACATCTACAGCACTGCTAGTATCGTCAATAAAGGAAGCCGATCCTTCTTTTGTCGCCAACTTCGTCTTCATATAACAACAAGAAATTGTTACCAGAAATTTGAAACTAGCGAAAATTCATGTTAATAATTGTGACAATGTTGAAGTTAATATTAGTTTTTCATTTAAATAGAATTGTTGAAGAATTTGTGGATTTTATTTTGATGTTTTTGTTAAAAAGTTTCTAGCGGGTGGTAATTGTTATTTATGTACCAAGTCAGCAAAGTGATGCTTTATCGAACGAGTCTGAGTTTGCTAGTCGAGCGAGCGAGGCGAGTACTTTACGTGCCGCTAAATGCAGACTTTACTACAGTAGCACAAAGTGTTACTTTACTGCCGTAAATGGATGGCATAAAGTATGGTTTTGCTGCCGGTTGGCGACAAAAACTTTTAGAGTCTTAGAGCTGCAATATATGTACTGAGTTACGCCCTAAAAACTAGTCCATAAGTAGGCAAAAATTGCCCGACCAGAAATAAATTTTACTACCGCAAAATGCACAGTTTACTAGAACAGTAGCATAAAGTGTCACTTTACTGCCGCAAATGGATAGCATAAAATATGTTTTTGCCATTAAGTTCCATTAATATTATTTCTTTCTTATTCAGTTCCAGTTCCATTTTGTAAGATGTTATTTTCTTTGACATCAAGTTGTTAGCCTTACTCCTGAAATTATGTTTTTCTAAATTTCCTTTCTTAACCTTTATAACACAGTTAAAACCTGATGTATTACATTACATTACATTACATAGAATACATATCGGGTAGGCGGACCAACCAACCTTGCACCGCGACCCTAAGGATCTATTGTACCCCGATAGATATCGTTATCAAATTTCACCGTGCAGTCCAATGCTCTTAACGAACATTAATACCTTGCTCGGCGAAAGGTCATTCAGATCTTTTGAGGAGATAAACTGCGACCCAAAAATCGAGAATCTGATACGGTTAACGGCAGGGCAGTGGCATAAAACATGCTCAACCGTCTCTGCTTCCTCCGCACATAGTCGGCATTCAACATCGTCGGCTAAACCCAACAAGTTGAGGTGTGCTTTTAATCGGCAGTGCCCAGTAAAAACACCCATTAGAACTTTTATGCTACTACGGACAAGTCCTAAAATATTCCCGGGTTTGACAGTGGCGATGTTAATAAACAGCATGTCTCATTCCAGGAGAACTGGTCCACAGTAGGCGAAGTCTCTCTTCAGCTCACAGTCCAATCCTATATTTGGCCATCGCAAATGATACACCAACTGCTGGTTCTGGTCCCACAAACGCTTCAGCGCTGCCATCTCGTGCTAGCTTATCTGCCGCTTCATTGCCAGCAACCCCAGAGTGACCCGGGACCCAGATCAGAGAGACTCTGTTATCACAACTCAGTGTGTTTAATGTTCTCTTACAATCATTAACCAGAGCCGACACCGTTTTCACGGCTTGCAGCGCCTGGAGAGCGGCTTGACTGTCTGAGAAAATTCATACTGTCATGTTCTTCACCCCTCTTTCAAGAAGGATTTTAGCACCCATGTCAATAGCAAATACTTCCGCCTGGAATACAGTACAGTACGTACCCAGGCTATAAGCTTGCTTAATTCGAGGTGTCTGGCAGTATACTCCTGCTCCTTCCCCTTCAGGCGTTTTTGATTCATCTGTGTACAAGCAAATGTCTGCCCGAACCAGAGAATTTTCATTTTCGATCCAGGACTGCCGCTCAGGCAGTACAATCTGGTATCGAGCATTAATCACTGATAGTGATACCGCAAAATCTGACGGCATTGATAGCACAGTATCAGTGTTTATAATGTCTTCCGCAGCCCATTGGTAGGACATGTCGGAACAGTTTTGAGCATATTGCTTTAATCTGTAAATGGTTGTTCTAGCCACTTTCTCTATATGCAAATGCAGAGGACATAGGCCAAGCAGAACCTCCATTGCTAGAGTTGGCGTTGTGCCTATCGCACTAGAGATTACCAATCCAGCTACTCGTTGAATTCGTGAAAGTTTACTGATAACCAGAGCCGCGACGTTGTCGGGCAACTCATTGGTGGCTCGTCGCCTTACTGTAGAGATTCGGGCCAGTGGCGCCGACTTTTTAATATTTAAGGGGGGGCAGAACTTTTTCAAATGGTACACCTTATTACAATACAATTGTATTGTACAATACAATTGTATTGTACAATACAATTGTACACTTTTACAATTTTCCGGGGGGGCTCAAGCCCCGTGCCGCTGACTACGGGGGGGCTGGAGCCCCGCAGCTCTGCTGATAACTGAAGTCTGTCGGAGTTTCCTGGTATAGGCTGCTGCTCCGTATGTGATCATAGGTCTAACCACAGTCACATAGAGCCAGTACAGTCTTTCAGGGGTAAGACCCCAATTTTTTCCACAAAGACTGCGACAAGTCCACAAGGATAGTCTAGCTTTGTGCAAAACTCCCTGCAAATGTCCATTCCATGACAGGGTTTTGTCTAGGATTACTCCTAGAAATTTGACTTCCTTTGAGAAAGGAATTTCTTCACCTTGGATAGTTGGGCGGATTAGTCCATCCAACTTTCGCTTCCTGGTGAAGGGCACAACAATTGTCTTTTGCGGGTTTATTGAGAGGTTCTCTCCCTTACACCAAGCGCAAATGACGCTTGGTGTAACGCTTGGTGTACGCATGAAACCTGATGTATGAAATAAAAGTAAATCTAAGTAAATTATAAAACTCAAGAAAACCTTGCAATTTAGATTAACTCATTAACGTCGTAATAAAGAATAGGGAGAGCTTTGAAAATCCCAACATTAAATGAAGATTTTCAATACAAACTATTATCTATACTATCTTCTTTAAAATGTTTACCATTCCTCTGAAAACATCCTGTGTTAGATGAAATATAATGAGTAAATGGGAAAAATTGTCCTAGAAAGAACTGCAAAATTATTTAAAATTCTAACTTAAATCTAAAACCTTGTGCTTTGTAATGATGAATATACAATAATCTATAGAATCAATGTGTTTCTTTTAAAAATATTTTTGGATATTATATATCATACAATATTAATTTCTATTATATAACAATAACCTTATTATATAAAATTAATGAAAGAAAATTCCAAACAAAATTCTTGTTAATAAATTTTAATTATCCTAATAATTTAAACATTTAATTATTTATAACGAACTAAACTCACATTTAAATCTAAAAGTAGCAAACTCATTGTTACATAATGGTTGCATGATATTTAACATAATTACACAATAATTTAAAGTTTAACACAATTACTGTACTTATTGTATTGTGTACATCTCAGCACAACCCAAAGTTTATTTTAAAATAAAAAGGAAGCTTTTAAGAAAGTGAACCCTTCTTATATTGTATAATTATATTCATCGCTAAATAACAAAGGTAATAATAAAAAAGGTTATTAAATTACACCACTTTTTATAGTAAACAATTTTTTGAGGTTAGGTAATCATAACCTCAAATTATAAACTTTTGACTGTTTAAATGCCAGTATTAAATTTTTGTGTTTTAATTTCTAGTTTATTTCAAAATTATAAGATGAGTGTTGAAACGCCTAGATTGGGAAGCATTCTCCCTATGCCTTTGGATGAAAAAGACTTGAAAGAAGTTGTAGAAAAAAGTAGAGATTGGGCAATAATGCATGGAGCTGGAATGAGATCAAAAACTAATTTTTCCAAGGACGCCTTGTATTTTGCTCCCTTTGTTTTAATACCCTCTGTATTTCCAAGACGAGAATTTTACAAAGCGCTTGAATTACAGCTTGTTTTAAATGAAATGGTTCATTGGGTTGCCCACAATCGAATCTTTTTAACCGAAGTACTTAAAGAAACTATACAAGTTGATGAATTTACTGGGAATTTATTTAAAATCTATGAAACCGTTCAAGATGAAGGTATTACACAGGTTAGTGATTACTTAAAAAAAATTCTGTTTATTCGAGCAAAGAATGCTTCTAATTTTTATGATAAACAGAAAGTTTTTAAATAATTTGGACACATTGCACACTTTATTATATTTAAGTTAAATCAAATAAACTTGAAACAAAAACACTTCATTTACATGTACGCACATATTTTATTTTTTTTGTGCCTTGACTAATTTATAGCCTATTTCATTGGGAATATTACGGTCTGACATCATGCTGGAAACGTCGTGTTCGAATCCAGGAAAAAATTGTCTCAGACATCCTCCATACTGCTGTTGGAAACAGGTTGAATTGAACACTATAGCATCTGGTTTTGGTTGGTTGGGCCCCGTATCTGCCATGATACAGAGGTGCAACATCAGTAGATTATTATTATTACTAATATTTATATTAGGAGTATTTCATTTTTGTGTGCTTAACGTATTTTTTCTTGTAGATGCATTACACATATTGGATTGTATAAATATGAGTAACAATCCAATATGTGTAAGTAAATTATTGTTTGTGTCTTAATTTTAATTATATATAGGGTGTTTCCTAAGACTTTTTTGTTATAAATCTGTAATGATGAAAGAATTGTGTAAAACTCCTATTTACATTGGGCATTTATATTAGGAACTTATATAAACCCAGCAAGGTTAATAAACTGACCGGCAAAAAAAAACCGGCCACTATAAATTAGCCAAAACTTCAAAGCTGTCTTTCTCGCGAACCGCGCATTCGATTTTCATGATTTTTTTTTGATCGAATGGTTGATTCTTCGGTAATAATCCTGCGATAGAAATTTTCATTTAGATTTTAATTTGAGCATATACGGGCTGCAAGAATGAGAAACACTTTTTTTTCTCGAAATTTGTAATACCCTGTGGGGTGCAACTGCTACAGCAGATGGTGTTAACTGGAATCAAACGGTAGCCCAATCTTTTCTGAACATCTTGTTTTTTTATTCACTCTACTATCTCTATTACTAACGAAGATGCAGTGTTTTAAAGCGAACGCCTGTAAAAACAAGACAAACAAGCATAAAAACATCTAAGGTGGCGCGCTAGGTAGCGTATGTCATTTGTTTCGAATAGTAAATTGACAGTTGTTAAAGATTTTTACAGTCTTTTAACATAATAGCAATCCCGTTGTCAGTAACTGATGTTGCGCGTATTGTTACTTTAATTGAGGATGGCAAAAGTCAGCAATACGTTGCCCATACATTGGGTATACCCCGAATAACAGTTCAGGATGCCTGGAACCAATATGTGGAAACAGGAAATTTCACTAGGCGGCAAGGTTTCGGTAGAAGACGAGTGACAACAGCAGTTGATGATCAATTTATTGTTCTAAACACTGAGGAATCGTAGAACGACAGCTGTACAAACTCGGCATCGTCTTCAAATGGTGCGTGGGGTTGACGTAAGTGAAAGAACTATTCATCAAAGACTTGATAAAAGTGATCTGACTGCAAGAAGACCTGCCAAAAGACCTCGGCTGCTCCAGAGACATCGGCGAACACGTCTTCAATTTGGGCGCGTACATATGAATTAGGGAATGGAACAATGGGGTAGGGTGCTCTTCACTGACATCGTAATGAAAGGTTTGCGACCTGCACAATTTCGGAAAGAGTACCTTTCCATGGAGGTTCTATTCCCATTTTATTGGTGACGGATTCATGCTAATTCATGACAATGCGCGACCGCACGTAGCACATGTGGTTAACGAATATCTTGATGAAGTAGGGTATTGAACGGATAGAGTGGCTAGCGTGCAGTCTGGACCTTAACTCTATCGAATATCTTTGGGACCAACTTGAGAGACGCATTCGTCGTCGTCCTGTCCTACCGGACAACCTTCAAGAGTTACGCATTGCTTTTGAAAAAGAATTTGCCTCAATTCCTCAGGAATCAATTACGAACCTAATCAGTTCGATGCCGCGTCGACTACAAAATTTCTATCGCAGGATTATTACAGAAGAATCAACCTTTCGATCAAAAAAAGAATCATCAAAATCGAATGAGTGGTTCGCGAGTAAGCCAACTTTGAAATTGTGGCTACATTTAAGTGGCCGGTTTTTTTGCCGGTCAGTGTACAAAAAACCTATGATCATTTAGAACAGTTATGGATCGCTGTAACTATTAACAAAGTTAAATATATTTTTGGTGTAATGTACAGGCCCCCGACCTGGTACACTTTCATTTGAAAATTGCTAGTACAAACGCTGTTTCTACATTTCGAACCTATAGAGACTTTAAGAGGTTTAATCTCGATCTGTTTAGTAGAGATCTTGAATCATTACCTTTACAATTAATTTTTGAAATTAACGGCATTGATGAAAAAGTGAATTATTTTAATTCTTTAATACTAGATCTAATTGATTTACATGCGCCACTACAAATGAAAAAATTTACAAAAAAAACCTGCTCCGCGTCTTACACCCCAAATCAAGGAAATGATCGCGGTTAGAAATAAAGCTTATGCTAAATATAACCGTACAAAAAATGTATTAGACCTAGAGCAGTATAAAACGTTGAGAAGACACGTAACAAATGCCATAAAAACTGAAAAAAGGGTATACTTTCAGGGGGTAACAAGTCGAACTGGGTCATCTGCGATGTGGCGTGTTGTTTGTGATTTCGGAGTAATCAGGAATAGAGTAAACACTTTGCCTATGCATTTAAGAAATGCGAACGACATTAATAACCACTTTCTCCAGACAGGTTGTTCATTGTGAGCATCTTCAAGTGATATTATGCACTTTTATAACAGTAACAAAAAATGTGAATTTCAGAAGTATTTTGATTTCGAAACTGTACATGAAAACGTTGTTGCAAGTTATTTACTTAAAATGAAATCTAATGCTGTCGGAGATGATGGTATTTCGTTATCAATGCTTTTGTACTGCCGTCCTTTTATACCCCCACATTTGACGCGTATAGTTAATTACTGATTGGAGAAATGCGTTTTCCCTTCCTGTTGGATGACCACTCTGGTAACTCCATTACCAAAAATTTCTAATCCCCAAGAGTACAAGGATTTACGACCTATTAGCATTCTCCCGGATCTTGCAAAGGTTGTGGAGAAAGTTATGGACTGGCAGATTAGAACTTTTATTGACAGCTATAATAGCCTACCTCTAAATCAGTCTGGATTTCGTAAACATTACGGTTGTGAAACAGCCATTGATGAAACGATATGACTGCGTTAGTTTTGTTGGATTACTCAAAAGCTTTCAATACTGTAAACCATTCCTTATTAAGTTCTGTCTTAAATTTTTAAGAAGTTTAAGTTTAGCGCTAATGCCCAATGAAACCAATGATATAGGTTTCCAATTATTTGTACAATAGATACCAAAAAGTGAAGATAAACAACTCTATATCTGAGCCTCGGAGGGTGTCGGCGGGTGTGCCGCAGGGTTCTATATTGGGGCCACTTTTGTTTTCGTTATATACATCCAACTTTTCAAATAGTGTGAAACACTGTAGCTGTCATTTTTACGCAACTGACATCCAATTATACCTGAGATTTGCTCCCAGTGATGTGTCTCTGGCTGAAACTATTGTAATACGGGAAATTAGGAATTTAGTGGAAGTTTCGTCTGGACATAATTTGAAGGTGAATGGTGCCAAGTCGGCATTATTGTTTTTTGGTAGACGAGGTTTGCGGGAGGAACATTCTCCTCAATTCAGTATAGAAGTTGATGGTCAGCGAATTAATGTAGGATGCTGTTTTCGTAATTTGGGATTGTATGAGAATTCAGATATTAGAACACATATTACACAGAAAACTAATAAATCATATGCAACGTTGAAATTAATTTATGGCATTAGGCACATAGTATTTAAAACTATACTGTTAAAACTGTGTGAACGGTTTAGACGCTCTACAGCCAAAGGGAATTCACTAACGGTTGTACTGGTGTAAATCTGGAGGTCATCTGCATATAAATGATAATTAGAAAAAATTATTTTTGTGACACTATTGATAAAAATAGAGAAAAGCAGCGGAGCCAAAACACTTCCTTGGGGCATCCCACAAAGAAGTTCGTGAGTGGACGAAGGGCCTGTGTCAGTGCGAACACATAAGAGACTCTCCTCGAGATAATTAAAAGCCTTTGGCAGGATTACATTACATTACATTGACTATATATCGGGTAGGCGGACCAACCAACCTTGCACCGCGACCCTAAGGATCTATTGTACCCCGATAGATATCGTTATCAAATTTCACCGTGCAGTCCAATGCTCTTAACGAAGATTAATACCTTGCTCGGCGAAAGGTCACTCAGATCCCTTGAGGAGATAAACTGCGACCCAAAAATCGAGAATCTGATACGGTTAACGGCAGGGCAGTGGTATAAAACATTCTCAACCGTCTCTGCTTCCTCCGCACATAGTCGGCATTCAACATCGTCGACTAAACCCAACAAGTTGAGGTGTGCTTTTAATCGGCAGTGCCCAGTAAAAACACCCATTAGAACTTTTATGCTACTACGGGCAAGTCCTAAAATATTCCCGGGTTTGACAGTGGCGATGTTAATAAACACCTTAGCATGTCTCATTCCAGGAGAACTGGTCCACAGTAGGTGAAGTCTCTCTTCAGCCCACAGTCCAATCCTATATTTGGCCATCGCAAATGATACACCAACTGCTGGTTCCGGCCCCACAAACGCTTCAGCGCTGCCATCTCGTGCTAGCTTATCTGCCGCTTCATTGCCAGCAACCCCAGAGTGACCCGGGACCCAGATCAGAGAGACTCTGTTATCACAACTCAGTGTGTTTAATGTTCTCTTACAATCATTAACCAGAGCCGACACCGTTTTCACAGCTTGCAGCGCCTGGAGAATGGCTTGACTGTCTGAGAAAATTCGTACTGTCATGTTCTTCACCCCTCTTTCAAGAAGGATTTTAGCACCCATGTCAATAGCAAATAGTCACATAGAGCCAGTACAGTCTTTCAGGGGTAAGACCCCAATTTTTTCCAAAAAGACTTCGACAAGTCCACAAGGATAGTCTAGCTTTGTGCAAAACTCCCTGCAAATGTCCATTCCATGACAGGGTTTTGTCTTGGATTACTCCTAGATATTTGATTTCCTTTGAGAAAGGAATTTCTTCACCTTGGATAGTTGGGCGGATTAGTCCATCCAACTTTCGCTTCCTGGTGAAGGGCACAACAATTGTCTTTTGCGGGTTTATTGAGAGGTTCTCTCCCTTACACCAAGCGCAAATGGTATCTAGGGTCACCTGGAGGACTTTAGATATCCTCGGCAAACAGGTTCCTTTGACCATAACTACAATGTCATCAGCATAAGCTTGTATTTCCACACCAACGGCTTCGACTATCGCAATCAGATCGTCAACTAGGAGGGACCAAAGCAGGGGAGATAACACCCCTCCCTGCGGGCAGCCACCTCCCGGCCTGAAGCGTATCGTATCACCGTGGAGTGAAGTAGAAACTATTCTACTATCTAGCATATTGCGGATCCAACCCGCTATAGTTGCTTCAACTCCCCCGTCAAGAGCAGTTCTTTCAAGAGATTGTGGTATTGCGTTGTTGAACGCTCCCTCTATATCCAGAAACGCACAAACCAAGATTTCTTTATCCTGCAGCGTCCTGGATACTCTACCAACTTAGTTGTGTAGAGCCAATTCTGCCGATTTTCCCGCTTGATAAGCATACTGGTGGCGACTCAGTGGACCAGATACCAATGGCACCGTACGGATATACCGTTCCAAAACATTTTCAAGGGTTTTCAGCAGAAATGACGTTAGGCTGATGGCTCGAAAGGCATTAGAAGTAGGGGCCGAACGGCCCGCTTTGGGTATATAAGATACCCTTACCTTAGTCCATTCTGCCAGCACATATTTCCAGGCGACACTCGCTCTGAAAATGTTTACCAAAATTGGCAACAACAAAGACCTCCCTGCTGTAACAAAGCAGGAAAGATATTGTCTTCTCCAGGCGATTTGAATGGCTTAAACGTTTGAATGGCCTAGTCCACGGATGTGTAAGTGACGACTTTTCTAGCCACACTCCAATCCGTATTTAAGGGGCGCTTTGCCTTGCAGGAATAGCCCGCTGTGGCATTATCGGCCCTAATCATCAGGCTTCCTGGGAAGTGAGTCTGCATGAGAAGCTCCAACGAGGCTCTGCTAGAGTCCGTAAAACTACCGTCAGGCCGCCTAAGTGAGCCCAGGGGTAGTGCCGGATCTCTAGCGAGAATCTTGTGAATTCTTGCACTACTGGGTGTGTCTTTCACTCCCTCACAGAACCTCCTCCAAGACTCTCTTTTTGCCTTACGTATGTTTTTGGTGTAATTCGTTAGAGCCTGTTTATATTTCTCCCATTAACCTAATGTCTTGGCCCGGTTAAAAAGCTTCCGCACCTCTTGTCTTTCGGAGCTAAGAGATTCGTTCCACCAGGGTGTGCCCCGATTATTACTTTTCACCTTGAGTGGACTGCTACTTTGATAGGCAGAGCGAATTGTCACAGAGATCTGCTCCGTGGCTATTTCAACCTGATCACAGTTCCTAACGGTTGCGATGACACTAGTTAGGTTATCTGCAAGGCAACTCTTAAACAGATCCCAATTAGTGCTACGGGGATGATTTCATCCCTAGATCAATTTTAAATTGAATATGTCTATGATCTGAACACGACGGTTCAGAGGATACCCTCCAGGAGGTTATCTTAGAGCTTAATATAATTGAGCTGAACGTAATGTCAAGTACTTCTGGTAACAAAGGTTGGTTTGGCGCCTACATTATTAACAGTAAGCCCCTCCCCTAATAATAGTCAAAAAGTAATTCATCTCTTTCATTTGTGTTGGTGCTTGCCCACATCTTTGACAGGATAGAGAGAATTGATATAGGACGAAAGTCACAAGGGGAAACTGGAGTTTTTAACTTAGGAATAGGCACAATATGCGCAAGCTTCCACATGGACGGAAAGGATGATGTTTTAATGGAAAAGTTATAGATATGAGTTAACGGAGACGTAATAATATGAAGAATCGGTAAAATCTGTTTCAAGCTAATACCGTCTGCACCGGCGCTGTTAGAACTAGAATAAGTAACTGCCTTGTACACCTCGTCCCCACCAATCACAGTGAGCGAAAAGCTAGAAGAAATAAGATTAGATGCCTCAATAGTTTGAATTAAGGTGATTTTGGAAGCAGTATTAAGAGTTACTGGTGGTTTAGCGAAATGGCTCGCTAAAGAATTTCCGTCCACAACACCTTGTGTAGGAGCAGAATCAATGACACCAAGTCAATTTCATCAATGACACCAATGTCCCAGTTAATTTCTGGTAAAAATATGCTTTCTTCGCATTTTTACATCTATAATTACAGCGATTACGCAGTACACCATACCTTTCATAGTTAATATTCGATGAATTACGTTTCATAAGCATTTTAGCTGTGTTTCGTTCACGCATAAGGTCTTTAATCTCATCATTTAGCCAGGGGGCACGGAAATGTTTTACTTGTCTCTGCTTAAGCGGGGCATGTTTATTATACAAACATGTAATTTTGTCATTAAAGTAACTAACTTTTGAGTCAATGTCCCGCATACAATAGAATGGTTGCCAATCAATCAGCAACGTATCAGATTTGAGGTGTACATAATCAATGTACCTAAAATCATGGTAAGTGAACATGCGATGAGAAGAGACAGGCTGCCGAACATGAACAGCACAATAAATCAGATCATGACAAGAAAACTGTTCAGCAGGTAATGTGTTAAAATTTTATCTGGACAGGACGTAATGATGAGATCAAGAAGATCATAATTAACCCCATGCCTCTCCAGGAGGTCTTCAAAATGGTCGAAATAATTCACTCCTGGGGGACAGTAGAACACACCCAGTAGTAACCTATCACAACGACACTTAACCTCAATCAATAAGAATTCCATTTCGTTTTGAAATCCATCAGTTGATTCCACCAGTTTAGTTTAAAAATGAATCCTGATAAAAATTTGCTGCATTGCACGAATAAAAAAATGTTGTTTATGTTTCATTCACCCACAATTTGAGTAAGCTTTTCTGAAACGTAAACGCCGGTGTAGTCCTCTTCTAGTACAGTAGCTTCCAATATAACTAAGGAACCAAGGAACACCCTATATAAGTAACAATTTGCGTTTAATGATTCAATTGATCATTTATTTCTAAACTTGATTAGTCATATCATATTCAATTTTCAACTGAATCATTTTACACATTATGTTAGAATTAATATTGCTTGAAAACGTTGCTTGTTACAAAAGCTTACGAAAATATTTAAACGTAAAACATTCATGACTTTTTGGAAATATAATAAAGTGGTGCTAGTCGTCTAGCGGTTTTTTATGCATGGTTTTGAATGTTGTTTTTTCCAGAACTTGTCCCTGGGACTGTTTCGTTCTGATTATATGGTGCACAATTCCAACAGCAAAATAAAACAGGTGGAAATAAACACGATCGCGTCGAGCTTTGGCGGCATTATCACACATCTAACGAAACTCTATAGGTATTTATTTTTTGTAGTCCTCGTTCTCTGTAGTTGTTATTTGGGATGTTTGTCGAAAATATCACTTTTATAGATTTTGTTTTTGTGAATTTTGGTAGTTAGACGGTGGTATTTTACACCTGTTTAATATTTTGCATGCTATTAGTTCCTCTACTTTGCCGATGATTTTGGAAATGCATGATTTATTTTTTTTTTTTGATATTATTTAATTGCTTTAGTGACTATCACCATTTTCATTCATAATATATGTTACAAGTCATGTATGTGTTACACATTTGGGCTCTTTCTTCTTATTTAGTTTATTTATTTATAAAAACTTATTATTTTTCTTAACAATTTCTTAATTACGTATTTGATCGAAATATATATTTTTTGTAGGTATGTTTTACAAGAACTTGGTCATCATGATTTAGCAGCAAATGTAAGTACTTGTTAGTTTAAAAACAATAAATATTGTCCATCTCCATTTTCCAAGCTTCTTTTTATTAAATTCCCAATCCAATTTAAAAAAAATACAAATATTTTGTTCTATAGTTACCAGAGAACAATGCTCTGGAAGGTCTTTGTTCTGGAATGTTAGAAGCTTGGAAAATGTATGGAGATATAGAAGCAACAATTCTTTTTATAGTAGAAGACGTAACTTATAACATATGTGACCAAAGATTCCACGAATTCGAAATAAAACGTTTAAATCCTTACGTGAAAGTAATTCGAAAAACATTAACAGAAATAGGAAATGAAGCTACATTAGGATCTTCAAATGAATTAATAATGTAAAAAAAACTTCAATTATTTTTACTTTCATAACAATTTTTTTTAGTGATAATCGTCCTGTTGCTGTGGTGTATTTTCGCGCAGGTTACGAACCTAATCACTATCATTCCCAATTAGAATGGGATGCTCGATTAATGATCGAAAGATCACAAGCGATTAAATCCCCATCTATTCATTATCATTTAGCTGGGACCAAAAAGGTTCAACAAGCCTTAGCCAAACCGGGTACTCTCGAAATGTTTTTATCGGATTCTGGAAAAATCGAAGCTGTCAGAGAAATTTTTACCGGATTATACAGCTTAGATTTAGATGAGTTTGGTGATCAAGCGATTCAAATGGCACTTGATCAACCGGAACGGTAACTAAAAGCAATTTTAATTCTAATAATAATAACAATTACAATTTTCTTCGTTATTTCTCAGTTACGTATTAAAACCACAACGCGAAGGGGGTGGAAATAATATTTATGGCGAAGAAATAAAAGACGCAATATTAAAAATGAAAGATTCGAAGGAACGTTCAGCTTGGATTTTAATGGAACGTATTCATCCCCCGATTTCTTCAGGGTACATTGTTAGACCTGGAGGTCCTGAAGTTCCTGAATTGTTGGATTTAGTTTCGGAATTAGGGATATATGGCGTTATTATTGGGTTTGTAATAAAATTTGATGCTTAGGCAAATATAAATTGTTTCTTTTTTTTTATAGGGATTCATATAAAATTTATTCAAATCGCCAATGTGGTCATATGTTAAGAACCAAAACATCAACAGCTAATGAAGGTGGTGTAGCGGCTGGATTAGGAGCTTTAGACAGCCCATATTTGGTAGATTGAGTGAACTGAGGATGAATAAAAGAGATGCATTTATAAAAAAAAATAATTTTATACATATAAATTATTGTATTGTTTGTGTATTTTTATAGAGTTTATAACAAAATTTATATGTTAATATATTAAATTTTTTTCTCTTACCAATATTTTCATTTAGACAAAATGTTTTTAAGTCCTAATATTAGAGTTAGAAATATTCGTGTTTAGCCGTCTTAAGAGACGCACGGCTAAACTTGATCAAGATCTTTATTTTATATTATGAACTCTAAGTCTCATACTAACATTTCAAAACACCAATAGAATAAATTAAGCATTTGCTAATTCGAACTGTGAAATAGTAGTTTCCTACCCATTCGCGACGTCACGAACGGGCCTTGGAGTTGTAACAGTCTTCTTAGATTCTACAGTCCTTGGTATAATAAGCAAATAATATGCTTTTTGAAAACCAATTTGGATTTCGACCTGGTCGGAGCACGAAGGATGCAGTTATTAAATTTATGAACACCTGTTATGATGCATATGAAAAACGGAAATTCTGTGCTGCATTGTTTGGATCTGTCACGCGCTTTTGATAGTGCATCCCATAGTATGCTATTGCATAAACTGCGATATTTTTTCCGATTTGATCAGGACAGTGTTGACTTAATCAGATCATATCTGTCGGGCAGATCCCAACAGGTTAAGTGTGGAAATAAAATGTCTGAGCGACTTCGTGTCACGAGAGGCGTCCCTCAGGGATCAATATTGGGACCTCTCTTGTTTATTCTTTTCTTTAACGATTTTCCTAGGTATTTGGTTGATAATGTAAACTGTTTGTTGTATGCGGATGACGCGACGCTGCTGGTAACGGGTATTGAGTTTGAGGAAGTGATATCCTCCACAGATCGACTGCTGGCCGCGGCAAACGAATGGTGTATTGCCAATGAATTATGTTTAAATAAAGACAAAACGGTCCAATCATTGTTCAGTCTTAGACAAAATTATGTAAATTTAAATGAGCTATCCTCTACTAAATTACTGGGGATAACAGTGAGTCCTCCCGACTTGAATTTTGAGGCTCATACGGTGGTTATTGGTAGGAAAATTGCCCGAAACATATTTCTGCTACGTAGATTGGTGAATTCTGTGTCGGCTGAGGTGGCCAGAACCTCTTATTTCGCGCTCATTCACTCAATATTGAATTATTGTGGCATTGCTTGGGGTGGTAGTCCAGATAGTGGCCATATATTTGGCTTGCAGCGCAAGGCGGTGAGGATCATTGCTAAACTTACCTATACAGATGACTGCCGACACGCTTTCAGACAACTTGATATTTTGACACTACCATCTTTGTTTATATGTACTTGAGTGTCTTCTGTACTGTTACGATAACAAACACAAATACTGCACGCATGCCGACGCGCATCGGTTGTAACGTTCGAAGAAGAATTGCTTCAAACAATCATACCTCAATTATAAAAATATTGAATTTGACGTATGTAATTATCTTGTGGCTTANTATTTGGTAGATTGAGTGAACTGAGGATGAATAAAAGAGATGCATTTATAAAAAAAAATAATTTTATACATATAAATTATTGTATTGTTTGTGTATTTTTATAGAGTTTATAACAAAATTTATATGTTAATATATTAAATTTTTTTCTCTTACCAAAATTTTCATTTAGTAAATCGGACCTCATTAGAACGGACAAATATGTTACAGATTACCAGTTTCGAAATTGAGGTAAAAACAGATAAAAATGGAATAATTCGGTAACCATGAGTTAGATTCACTTTAATTTCTTCGTCTCTAGTTACCGCTAATTTCACAGCTGACGTACTTGCAAACGTAGTTTCCGTCTCCTGCTTATATCTATTCCCGAATTTTCTTTTTTTTTGATCTATCCCCGCGTTTAGAACTTCCCTTTGAATGTTTTCTATCCATTCTTGTCCTCGCGAACACGTCGAAATAATACAGACAAGTTCAATCTTGTTCTTAGAGCAACCTTTAGTAACCAAATCTAACTTTGAATTGTGACAATTGCGATAGTGTACCACAATTTCAAACAACTTCGGTTTTTATGACAGTCATAAATAAAAGCCGGTCGGTAAGGGCAGAGGAGAAATTAAATTTGTTTAAATTTTATTATTTTAAACCTATTATTTTTTTATAATTTGCAAGTACTGTGTGTTCCTTAATGCGGGCCTGATTGAAGAATCCAGTTTTTGTCCGTTTTATTACTAAAGTAGACAAGGGACGGAATTATAAAAACCCATCTCGATGTGAAAGGCTATAACAACTACACCGTATTTGATAAAGGTTTATAACTTCTACAATTTAAATAATTTTTAATTAAAACTTCATAGAGGTATTGTTCAGACCCTAAACTACAAGATTTTGCTATAAAAAAAATTGATTTTTTTGAAAAAAAAAAGACATTCCCCCCTTAAGTCATACTATTAGAGTTAGAAATATTTGTGTTTAGCCGTCTTAAGAGACGCACGGCTAAACTTGATCAAGATCTTTATTTTGTATTATGAACTTTAAGTCTCATACTAACATTTCAAAACAGCAATAGAATAAATTAAGCATTTGTTAATCCAAACTGTGAAATAGTAGTTTCCTACCCATGCGTGACGTCACAAACGGGTCTTGGAGCTGTGTACCTGCTCCCGCGATGTAACAGTCTTCTTAGATTCTACCATCCTTGGTATAAATTAGTGGTGGAACGGATATCCGGCAACTACTGGTATCCGGCATATTCACAGGAATTAGTATCTCTTTTAGGTGTTGGACACTGCAGATAATAATCATATTCAACCCCAATAGGATTTTTTTAATTGCATACAACTTTATTTTTATCAGGATTGTCTTTAGCAACCTCATTGTAGCAATCCCAATACGATATATTAAATCTCTTGTTGCAGTTTCGTCTAGTTTTCTTCTCTTCGCTGATAATTCATCATCACATTCAGAACTAACAGAACTGTCGCTGTTATCACTTTCGATTATTAATTAAAGTATCCTCTTTGTAATGCAAAAAGCCGATTTGAAAAATCACTTTCAGTTCTTGAGAAATAAATTTTTGTAATGATCGACAATTTTTTCAAATTTTGCAATATTCGCGGATTAAGTTTTAAAAATTGGTATAAAATCCATTTCTTGGAATATGAGTATGAAAATTTCGCAGAGTGTTAATAAAAGTGTCATCTTTCCAATGAACCAACCCGTTTTGAAAAATAACTTTTAGTTTTTGAGAAAACAATATTTGAAGTTTTGATAAAATTTTCGATGTTGCAATTTTCATCGATAACTTTCAAAATTCGCTATA